TTTAATTAATGTTTTTGTTACAGATTAAACTTTGTGGTGAAAAATGATGATCATTTACGCTGAGATCGATAATGCGTTGCATTTTGATGATTACAAGAGAATTATCGACTTAGCTTTAAAATGGCCCTGGAAGGAAACGCACTTTGTCATTGCCGAAAATTGTTTTGGTTGCGGCATAAATACAAGATACATTTCTCGTCCACATTTTTCAATGAATATGAATCTTGAAGATATTTTATATTTACTGCAAAATCCACAATTCTGGTGTTACAATTGCAAATATTGTGTTTATGATCATTTCCCTAGAGATGAGTGTATTTTTTGTGCTATTTAGTTTAACTTTGTGACGTATGGATCTCTTTTTTATCTAATTGATATTTAGTGATTAGTTTAGTCCTATTCATGGATCTCATATTTTTCTGATCGTATATTTAGTACCTAAGTATAATAATTTAAACTGCCTAAATAAGGCATTTCTCGTATGTGTTCAATTTGATACCTACTTGTATCTGTGACTAATAATAATAAAAAAGACTGATTGTCAATTATGTTCTCAATATGTTAATTAAAGTTACCTATTATTGTTAATAATTATTGAATAGTTTTTGGACATTGTTTACTAGATTGTTACTTAATTAAGATTAACATTATCCTTGTTACTAAACTTTTAGAAAGCCCGAAGTTTTTTTTCCAATGAATATTGTATTTTTGTTTAATTTTCATTAAAAATTATATTTCTAAGAACAACTCAATTTCTAAGTTTGGATAAACTGTACTGTTTGGGCTTCTTAATAAAAATAATAAACAGCTAAATAATCGTTTTTTTTTTTCAATAATTCATACCCACAAGTAATTGTTGTAAACGCACCCTACTGATTTTCAGGCGGTCAGTTTGGTCACTGTCCCTCCAAATTTGCGAGTTAATTCTTCCCTTTTAAACATTTTGCAGCGATAGAAATTATACCAAAACTACAAATTATTGTCAGAAATGATAGTTTTATTTCTTAAATAACATAATTTATGATTATAACAGTCAAAATCATGAATAAACTGAAAAATCATTAGTATGAAAGAACCCATGGTAAACAAACTGAACTATAATTATTTTTGTTTCTTACAATTCTTCAAAGTTACTCATAAAACCCTCAAATTATGATTAACGACTAGCACATTATTATATAAAATTAATATCATTATTATTACTAAACAATTCTAAGAGATATTCCTATTTTAAATAAGTCACATAATGGAAATATTTTCTTGCCCTAATCAGCTTTGTGTCGATTTTGGTATCTATTTAATCGTACTTTCGATAAATGAAGCAAATTTTCATAAAATATAGAATATTTGCTTTAGTATTCCATAAAAAAATTTTAGAAAGAATGAAGTTTAAAATAAAGTTCAACTTTTCGCTATGGGGTGCAAAAAAAAAAAGATGCCCACCTTCGTTTTATTAGGGTGGTGGCACTATATATCGGCCGTCTCCTAGTATCGGCCTTTTCGAGCAAATGGAATATAACTATAGAAATGGTGTTGAAAGCAATGCTTGTTTTGTGCAAAAATCGACTCTATGTCAATACGCATAACCTCCCATATTTTCGTGCGGGTGCCTCAACGATCGAACGTTCAGTTGGCAACAGTGCACACGCAGGTACGGACGTGTTTCGTTTGGTAGCGTTGCCCAGTCAAATCCCTGAGTCGACGCATTGCGTTGGTAAGTATTTGAATAGAATTAAATACATTTATGGTAGTTTTTTTTATTTGTTCTTGAAGAAAAATAGTCATAGCATGTTTAAAAAGTACATTTTTAAATATAATTGTTTGTTTTTTACCAAATAATCGCGGGGCTGAGATTAGGGATCTGTTTTATCGATAAATCTCAATATCGTCCGAGTGGCCGATATAAAGGGAATTGATGCGTAATAACGGCCACCTTACTTCTGGTACTTCCTTTTTATTTATTTATTTAGTACACCAACGATTGTTACATTAATTTGATTTAGTAAACTAACTTAATTTAAATTTGCTGAATGTACAATCATTTACAGGTGAACATCGCATGCAAAACCTGAAATAAACATTTACTTAGTTTACGGATCACACAATCTCACTCCATGAAAAACAACTAGGAAACAGTTACAAAAAAAAAACAAACAAAACAATATACTTAATACACTGAGACATTGAGAGTTGAACAATTATTTAGACACTAATCGCTTTAATTCAGCTTTAAACTGGAATAGAGACATCGCATTTACATCAAGGGAATCACTATATTTGTTAAATAATCTACCAATTCTCGATACTGGTGAATTAGCACCCAGAACCGTTCGGCGAAACGGACGCATAATTGGTTTGATTGGCTTGCGTGGTATATGGTACGGTATCCTGAACTTAAACATCTCTAACAATGTAGGACAACGCAATTGGTATCGCTTGATTTTATAGTAGAACGTTATATCTAACATGTCTTTGCGTTTGTCTAAGTTGTGTAATTTATAAAGGTTTAACAGCTGCTCGTATGGTAGTGACTTTTTATCTCTATTGTGGGTGAATGACAAATATCTCGTCAATCTTTTCTGTATGCGCTCAATACGTAATATGTGTATGGCATAATGTGGACGCCAAATTGTACTACCATACTCTAGAATGGATCTAACTAGGCAGTAATATAATTTCAGTTTAGTGGATGGATTTTTGAACATTTTGCTGTTCCGCATGACAAACCCTAACATTTTGGTAGCCTTCTTTACGATGTGATCTAGATGTGGAATAAAAGTAATTTTACTGTCAAATAACACTCCTAAGTCACTGACTACATCCATCTCTGACAATTGGTTGTTATTGATATGATAATGAGATGGTATGTTTTTTGTTTTTCTGGAAAATTTTATGTGTGAACATTTCTTTATATTAATTTCCATCTCATTATTATTACACCAATCCATCATGGCATCCAAATCCTGTTGTAGCGCTATCACATCGTCCCACGACTCGATTACCTTTGCCATTTTTAAGTCATCAGCGAACATATACGGTGTTGAGTTTTGAATAACCAGGGGAAGGTCATTAATAAATATATTAAAGAGAATAGGTCCCAGATGCGATCCTTGTGGCACACCAGCAGTTATACTTCTGACTTCCGAGCGATAACCGTTGATCACCACATAAAAAAAGCGATCGGTGAGGTAAGAATCAAACCAATTCAGCAAAGATCCAGACAATCCATAGGCAGTTAGCTTTGTTGTTGTTTTTGAACCATATTGGATACTTATTGCTTTTGACCTTTAATTTTGGTACAAATTTCCGGATTGTTTCATCAACAACTTTAAGAAAATTATTTAGCATATCATTAACATCGCAATGCTTAGACAGAATGCTCTGTCAATTGAATTCTGATAAGTGGTTATTAATGTCCATATAATATGCTTTAAAAAAATTATACCTACTTTCTCTATTAGGTTCTAAGCTAGGGTCCTCGACTGGGGATAAATAAATGACCAATGGAGGATGTAGTGGATCTACGGGACATAAAGCATCCACAGCTTCAGACACCTCACATCTAGGCAAGCGTGCCAGAACTAAATCAAGAGTCCTACCCTTATTATTTTTAATAGAATTAAGCTGTTGTAAATTATTCATGTTGACAAAATCAATAAATATTTGGTAGAGAGATGACAGATTATAGGAGGGACTCCCCACCAAACTCCATTCCAATGTACTCAAGTTGAAATCACCAATCAGACAAATATGCGATTCCCATTGATCAGAAACACGATTACAGTTATCGATAAAGTACTCGAGAGTTGATATACGTATTGGTGGCGGTAAGTAAGTACTGCACACAGTGCGATACTGGAAATTTTTCGAGAGCTTTCTATTAACACCCAAATGTCCTCACAATCACTTCGCCAACAATACATTTCTCTAGATTTCAAATGTTTTGATATGGCAATCAGAACTCCTCCTCCATCCCTTTTTATACTACTAGCAGATTTTTCCCTATCTCGTCTGTATACAATGTACTCGTCGCCGAAAAGCTCGGAATCGAGTATGTTACCATTGAGCCAAGTTTCAGTTAAGACAATAATATCGTATCTTGATGTAAGCACATTCCGTATAAAAATATGAGTTTTAGTTCTTAGTCCACGGGTATTCTGGTAATATACAGTTAAAGAATCGAATGTTTAGAATAATACAATATGGACGCTGGAAAGGCAAAATGTTTTAAGCGCCACTTTGGTCGAATATGAGTTATATATATATCGTTGGAATCGCCTGATTTTTCTCTTTCGAATAGTCTAGGTAGCGACTTAATCTGAGCACTTTCATGGTGGTTAATACACCGGTGATTTTCGACTTTTTCCTATATTTTTTTTGTATTAAATCCATTCATTTTTTGACTTTGGTTCATAAAGCGTACATGATAGTAACAAACTATTGATAAGTCATTTATACCTGCTTAAGCTTACAACTAGATTTTTTTTAAACTCTTTACCTTTCCATTTTTCAAAAAAATAGCGCAATAAAACATTTTATAGATTGGCAATTATTTTAAAATCTAAACATAAGTCAATTTCCTTGTAAATGAAATATATGTTTTTGTCGTTTAAAACATTTTACTTTTCTGCATGTTACAATTATTTGGACGTTAAGACAATTTTATCGAAAACATTTAATACTAAAATGGTCGATAATACAATTTTACCTGCAGCTATTCTGATGTGTTTATAGCACTTAAATTAATTTACTTAATGCAAAATTTATTACATTTGTGAGTTAAACCTACCAAAAAAGAATGATAAACACGAAACTATGGAGGTTAGACGGTAGTTTAAGACTGTCATACACAGAGACCGCGGCTGTTAGTTAGGGCCGAGAGCGTTGCGCGGGCGCTTCAGTCACCCGTGCGCTGTCGTAGATGGAGGTCACGCTTGCTGTCCCAATACGCTGTTCGTAAATAATTTTACCAAAAGTGTTAGACATTAAAAACATTTAAAATGTCATCGGAAAGGTGTAAGAGAATACTAAAGAATGTGTTGTTTCCAAGGGGACTAAGATTTGACATTGAACCAGATTCTAATGAACAGGTATGTATATTATTTAAGTATTGGATATTTTATAATTAATTAAGCTCAATACAATTAAATAATTAAGCACTAATAGGTGTTTTACAATAAGCTACTTATTTGGATTCGTATAATGAGTTCTTACTTAACTAAAATACCTATTTTCTTTCTTATTAGAATGAAGACATAATGGTAGAGCATTCCGGACGTTTTGAGGAAACCAACATCTGTGAAACCAACAATCTGGTACGTCTTATTTACTAATAGTTTTAATGTCCATAATTTGTAGTTAGGTATATAAATAAGTCATTCGATCCGTTACCTACTTTGCACTGTTTACATACCTAAACAGATGATGATAACGATTGTCTAATGCATTATCTGTGTTTCAGGATCCTGATCTCAACAATTCAAACGAAGTTAATATATTTAAACCATTGTCTCCGACAGTCATTATCAGAAGTCTTACAGAAGATGTAAGTCTATTTGACCTTTTATTAGCTAAATATTTTATTTATTTTATAAAGCATAACCTACCTTTTTAGTATGATATAAATAGTTAATATAATTAATAATTGAGGGGTCTAAAAGCAAAAACGCCACTGTCCATTTCAGGTCAAAATAGAACTATGAATGCCATCTCGTGTATTTTTTATGAATTAATAATGTGGCACAATCAAATGACATGCAATGTTGCCACTGTCCCATAGAAAACAGGATAAAAATATCAAATTCATATTCAAAACCGACACTGTCCTATACACTTTCAACTTCAAAACTGCCACGGTCCAATGCAGCCAATCAGAGGGCGGCATTTCAATTTCGACAATATGGCCGCTCCTCAGTTTTAGTATTGTTGTTGCTGTTAAATTGTTTCGCTTTTAAAAGGTATTTTGCGTTAATATGGAAGAAAATGTGCGTGCAGTTGATTGCCGAAAGGCAAGGAAGAAACCAAGAATACCAGAAAACTGGAAAAGGGCTAAGGAAAAAGTAGAAAGGTTAGTCTAAAAACAACTTACTTTTTTGGTTAGAAGGATGAAAGTACAGTCAGCATCTATAGAAGTATTTAGTAATTCTTTAAGGAAAGGAAGTTTTATTAATAAGTATCTACCTAACACGGTAATTTTACAGTATGAAGTAAACATTAAACCATCCAAGAATAAAAATACATACAATGTAATAATATAAAGACTTTTTAGGGTTCCGTACCCAATGGGTGAATACGGGACCCTATTAAGACTTCGCTGTCTGTCACCAGGCTGTATCTTGTGAACCGGGTTAGCTAGAAAGTTGAAATTTTGACAAATGATGTAGCTGTTCCTGTTGCATTTTTTCCTGTTGCGTATTCCCGATATGTTTTTTTATAAAGAGTAATGGCTCTTGACCCCAGTCTTGGCCAACGTAGAGCGATGACGAAGTTGACGATGGAACGAGTTTTCCTGAAAGATGGCTATTTATTCCCTCTTTGAATGAGATCCGGAAATATAGACAATGGTATATAATTCCAATTCTTTAATAGAATGACAGATTTAAAAATTTTCACTGTGCATGCATTTCCTATAAATTTTTGACAAGCAGTTTTGTTCTCTTATTTTAAGGTATTCAGCAAAGCAATTGCCGTCAGCACCGCAATGCAATCACGCCAATTCATCTCAATACAAATGTGGTTCTTTATCGATGCAAGATATGCAACAATTTCACGAACAGTTTTATAAATATCCAATTAAAAAGGACCAGGATGCGTTTATTTTAAAACATTGTAAAATACAAAAAACAAAACGACGTCGTCCGAGGAAAGGCATCCGAAAACCGACAGAAATCTACACAAAATTGTATGTCAGAAAAAAAAATTCCGCAAAACTGATACCAGTGTGTCAAAAAACATTCCTGGGTATTCTTCAAATAACTGTCCATAGAGTTCGAAGAGTGGCAAAAGAATTTGCCAAATCAGGTACAGTTGTACAAGAAAAAAGAGGCGGTGACCACAGGTCCGCCCAAAATGAACCCAAGCTTAGAGCTGTACGGACATTCATAGAAACCTTTAAATGTGTTGAATCCCATTACTGTAGATCAAGTACAATGATCAGAAAATATTTACCAGCTGAACTTAACATTAAGAAGATGTGGAGAATGTACCAACACCAATGTCAAGATGAAAACCTACTAGTACGACACTGTTATTTCCGGAGAGTCTTTAATAGGCACTATAATTTGGGATTTGGCACACCTCGTACTGATACATGTTCAAAATGTACCGAATTACTAGAAAAGATAAAAAACTCACGAGATCAATCGGAAAAATCAAAACTTATGGCTGAAAAAAGAGTCCATTCACTTAAAGCACAATATTTCTATCGCTTATTGAAAGAAAAAGCAGACAATATGATAACGCTATCTTTCGATTGTCAGAAGAATCAGGTTCTTCCAAAAATTTCTGACCAAACGGCATATTATAGTCGTCAGCTCTATATTTATAATTTTGGCACTGTGCTGTCAATGCCAGACAATACGCTAAACAAAAATAATGTTTTTTTGTACGTGTGGACCGAGGATCAGCAAAGAAAAGGGGCAAATGAAATTGCCTCTGCAGTATTTCACAGACTGCAAAATCTAGAAATAAAAGAAAATGTGGACATGATTCGACTGGTATCAGATGGGTGTGGAGCTCAAAATAAAAATACAGTTATGATCGGAATGGTTGGTTATTGGTTGCTCAGACATGCACATCCGCAAATCAAATCAGTGGAGTTCGTTTTTCCCATACCTGGCCATTCCTTTCTTCCACCTGACAGGGTTTTCGGTAACATAGAGAAAGAAATAAAGAAAAATGAAGAAATTATTGATCCAGAGACATATATTAATATTTTTGATAGATATGGGACGGTGGTAAAAATGGAAGATAAAGTCATGGACTGGAAAAATGCTTTTGCCGGTATCATCAAACCACCTGCATCATGGCATTTTAAATTTGCACAATGTAAGAGATTTTATCTTAAAAGAACAGCATCTAACATTTTGGTGAGAGGCGAAATGCACTATGCCACTGACATGATTGCATACAAAAGCATTCTAAAAAAAAGAAAATCATGGACAGATGTAAACCCAAGAAATTTACAACAATACGATGTTGTAGTTAAGAGAGCTAAAATTTCTGACGTGGACAATTTATTAAAAAAGCATTTCGGAACGGACTGGAAAGACAGAGATGATTTGACCTACTATAAAGAAGTTTTGAGTAGATCAGAAGCTCGGGACGGTCAAGCTGAAGAATATGAAGAAGAGGTTTGCGAAGGCGGTTCTGACTCGGAATTACGAATCTAGGGTATTAAACACTATAATAATAGTATGCTACAAAACGAAATTTGATTGTCTCAGTAGTAATATGATTATAAGAAATACAAATATTAAAAAAAATATTATTGTCACAACTTACTTAAATGTAACCTAATTAAATAAAATTATATAAAAATATTATTATGTCAACTGTACTTCTTTGACAAAATGGTGGTAGAGGTAAGTTTCAAAAGTGACACTGTCCATATGTGTAGTTGCAAATACGCCACTGTCCATTAGTAAGAAACAGAAACGCTACTGTCCACTCTATTTATTGGCTTAAAATCTGTTAACATCATTACTTTACTACACCTAATTATTTGTTTTTAGTCAGGAAACATGTTGTAGCAATTTAATAGAAAAGCATGCGACATATATACGTTAGAATACACAATACATAATTTACAGTCAAATGGCTTTCATGATGAGTCAGGACAGTGGCGTTTTTGCTTTTAGACCCCGCAATTATAGAAGTAACAACTGATTTACTAAAAAATTATTATTATTAGAATTTATTTGATTTATTTAAACTTTATTATTTCTTTTTTTATTGCCGTGGTGGTACAGTAGAAGTGTATGCGACTGCTGTGAACGAGGTTGTGGGTTCGATTCCCATTCAGTTGACAACTGCAATATGTATAATTTTTCTTTGAAGTTATTCATTGATAGAAGGGGATAAGATGATTGAATTAATTAATATATTTGTGTAATCCTACGTACTTCTATAAAATATGTATTTTGGCGCTAAAATACTAATTCTAATGTGTAAAAATTATTTTCAGGAATGCGATTTTATTGAAAATTCGGATACTGAAAAATCTTACGCGATTCCACAATGCGTCGAAAAATTAAATCAAGTACATGTAACAGAAGCTTTAAGTAAACAGGTGGGAACATTTACTATTTTAACCGATTGTGTTCGTCTCTAAGTATTTTTGTTGAAAGGCTTGGATTTTCTTACATCGTTTTGATCTATTTGTTTCATTTCAGGTTTCTGAGGAAATCAATAATTTGGAGGCCGAAACCGAAAATATTGCGCATGAGCATGATATTCCAGAAAATGTGGAAGTGCGTTACATGTTGTTTCAAATATATCGGGTTGGCACAAAAGTAATGAGACACTTGGTTTAAGTTTTTACTTTTTTATTATTATTACAATAAAAAAAGTTTAGTCAATGATGTAATTACCATTAGTATCTAAGACTTCTTGCCAACGATCCGGCAAAGTTTGGATGCCTTTTGCCCAGAACTCTGATGGCTGTGCCTCGAAAAAGTTGTTCAACTCCGCCTCTACGTCAGAGAAATCATTAAATTGTTTACCCCGCAAATGCTGTTTCAGGGCTCTAAACAAATGATAGTCTGATGGGGCGAGGTCTGGGGAATAAGGTGGGTGGGGTATCGTCTCCCAGCCCAAGTTCTCCAACTGCCGGCGAACCACAGATGCGACGTGAGGTCGAGCGTTATCGTGCAGTAAAACTACATTGACTCGTCTTCGTCGTTTTTTCTTGATAGCGGCAGATAATTTGGTAAGCTGGGTTGAATATTTGTCAGCGTTTATAGTTTCATTGTGTAATAGCTCATAAAACAGTATGCCTTGCGCATCCCAGAAACAGCAAAGCAGAATTTTTCGGCGGTTCTTTTGACTCGGCTTCGGTTGAGTTGGTGGCGTTTCTTCTCGAGGCAGCCAAAAAGCACGACGTGTATCGTTCTCTTAATAAATCCATGATTCATCTCCAGTAACCAGATCTGACAAAAACTCTTTACGTCGGGGTCGCAGCAAAAGTGACTGACAGATAGCGACACGGACTGCACGACTGGCGTCTGTAAGGATGTGCGGTACCCACCGAGCCAAAACTTTTCGATAACCAAGCTCATGCAGATGGTGTTCCACGGCGTGGTGACTGCATTTAAGTGCTTCCGCTAATTCACGAGTGGTAGCATCCGGATTCAACTGCAGTTCGCGGCGCAAATCGTCATCATTCACTGCGGGTGGTCGCCCTGAGCGTGGCTGACTTTCAAGGCTCCTGTCTCCTGATTTAAAACGATCAAACCATCGGGACACCGTCGCATGGCTTGTACTTCCAGCGCCTAATGCATTGTTGATATTGTCAGCCGCAGCCCGCGCACTGTGGCCTAACAAGTACTCGTATAAGTATAGTGTTCGAACTTGTCGCTCGTCCATTTTTCTTCAAACTGACTAAACAAATCGCGAGCGCGGCTTTATATACCCTACACCAGAAGTACCTAGAATGTTCTACAACATTCTAGAATATTATCGAAAAAATTGATTTTAAAAAGGAAATGTTATAGATTTTTCTAGTGTGTCTCATTACTTTTGTGCCAACCCAATAATTAAAAATATTAGTACTATTAAATAAAATGATAATATTGTATTTATATATAATATTATCATCTTATTTAATTATACTAATATTTGTGTAACATAATGCGTATTTTTTTAGAACTTTGTATCTGCACCAGTTGCACGAAGTAAAAGGATTGTAAACAAAAGTTACGTTGATTTTTTATCAGACAATGAAGATTTTGAATGGTCATCTTCGTCGTGGGTAGGATCTTCAAATGATGAGTGTAGTGAAAAAGAAAGCTCTCGTAAAAAACAGAAAACGAATTCATTAGACGACGGAAAGGTAGGTAATAATGGGAATAAAAAAAAGAGGAAGATTAACAAGAGAAAAGAAAGAAAACAGTTACGCAATAGGGGAAAAGAGTACACCAAAAAGGATGGCACAGTTGCTAGGGCTAATGAAAGCTCATCCATGTCTCGATAAGAAATGTGGTAGATTATGTTATGAGATAAGTGATGAAAGGAGGCAAAGTTTATTTGATTATTTTCATGGTTTGAACGCAGAAAGAAAACGAGATTGGCTGATTTCAAATAGTCAAATAGAAGAAACAAAAAGAAAACGATCAAAAGAAGCGTGCAGTAAGCGTAAATTCACTTTTTTGTACTTCATTAATGAGGGTGAAGGTCGACGACATATATGCCAAAAGTTTCTGCTTTCTACTCTTGATATTTCTCAACGTTATGTATATTATACCCTATTATGTATATTATATAATGCGCAATATAAGTTATCAAAGACAGACATGAGGGGTAAACACATACCACCTAATAAAACCAGTACACAGACAGTGTTACAAATTACATAAAAAATTTACCAGCAGTTCCTTCCCACTACTGCCGCAAAGATTCGACGCGTCTCTACTTACCACAAGAATTTAAAAATTTGAGTAATCTTTACCAATTATACAAAACAGATTTTAGCTCTAAAGGCAAGGATTATGTAGGTGAAAAGATTTTTAGAAATATTTTTACTCAGAATTTTAACATATCATTTCATGTCCCGAAAAAAGATAAATGTCTTAAATGCATATCTTTTAAAAACAATCCTGATGGATTCACTGTAGAAGCAAAACTAGCCCACGAAAATGAAGTTGAAGATTCTAAAAACCGTTTCAAGTACCATCAAGAAATAACAAAACAGAATCCTCAAACATTATGCGTATCTTTCGATTTGCAGAAAGTGTTAAACACGCCATACGGTGAGAGTATGTTATTTTATTATTTACGAAAATATTCGGTGTACAATTTGACAGTATACGAAAGTCAAACTAGGGAAGTTTATTGCTACGCATGGGGAGAGGCTGATGCTAAAAGGGGAGGTAATGAGATTGCGACGATTTTAAATAATTATATAAAAATTGTCGACCAGCGTCAAACAGTGACGCATTTACTTTTTTATAGTGATTCTTGTTGTGGCCAGAATCGGAATAAAATAGTTTTTGCAGCTGTTCACACGGCGTTACAATCCTGTGAATTTATAGAAACCATACAAATGAATTTTCTGATACCAGGTCACACTTCTATGCCGGTAGATAGTGTTCACGCAGTCATAGAAAGAAGTGTAGAAAATTCTATAATTTATGCTCCATCACAATGGGCAACCGTTTTTCAACTGGCTAGGAAAAATCCAAAACCCTATAACGTTGAAATAATGTCCCATCAAAATTTTTTAAATCATGGGATTCAATTTCTGAAAAATATTTTAAAAACAATTTAGTAGGTAAAATAAGTAAAATAAGGATTGTCACATTTAAAAAAAATTACTTATCAAACATTTTTGTTAAATTCAGTATGGATAATACAGCATAAACTGAAAACATTGAAGTGTTGGGTAAAAATAAGCGGCTAGCAGATGATTTATACAAAAATCGTTTTCCTATACCCAAACAAAAACACACTGATTTGGTAAAACTTTGTAAAACTTTTGCGATCCCGCGTAGATATCATGAGGAGTACCTTAGTTTGCAACCTTGCAATGCCAAAGAAAATTTACCAGATACTGATGTAGAAGATGTTGAAAATTGATTTTTTGATTTTTTTAATGTCTTGGATATATTTCCAAAGTGTGATTATGTTAATATAAAATAAGTATTATAGAAGATGTTGAAAATTGATTTTTTATGTTGCTTGATGTCTTGGATCTTTTTCAAAAGTGAGATTATATTTTATACTTATAAGATTAATACTGATACAGAAGATGTTGAAATTTTATGTTACCTAATGTCTTGGCTATTTTTCCAAAGTGTGATTATTTTTAATTTTGTATTTGATTAGTATAAGTTTAAGTACAAGTACCTATTAACTTGTGATATCTGATCTCAAAATATACTCAAAAGTATTGCCTTTCCATTTTTTTAAGACTGATTGATCTCAGAAGTGTGTGTTTTTAAATTTTGTTAATGCATAAAGTTGTATTCTTGATTAAAAGTCCTTATAAAAAAATATTTTTGTGTTATTTAGTTTTACCCGTAACTTCCATTAGTCATTAATATTGTGAAATAATACTTAAAGCCTAGCGGTAACTTTAGCTTAATGCAAGATAAGACACTTTAGTTTTCATGGTCTGACTTAACTAGGCCTGATAAAACTTTTAACTTAGACGTGTTAGTATGCTGTACAGAATATAACACATTTTTAGCTCATCTTATGCAGCTTTTCGTTCGTTAAAACATGTTTTACCTGAGCACGGTGAGTACGGTCAACTGACTTAAGTCAATTTTACCTAACCAAGATTATGTACTCCAAAATCTTGGATACGAAGACACCTAGATTTTTTTCTATTATTACATTTCATAGTAAGCGTTATTCTTAATAACTATTTTGATTTTCAATGAAAACGCTCAAGCAATTAATAAGTTATGATTTTTTTTGCAAAATTTCAAACTTCAAATCTCTCTACTCAACAATTCATATAATGGCGGTTAATACATTTTGCCTTTCCAGGCAGGCGATATTATCATGCAAAAATAGTAATAAGAAAAAAGTACAGTTATTTAATATTAGCCAAGAAGTCCATATCTCTAATAAAGATACAATCGATATTATCATGCAAAAATAGTAATAAGAAAAAAGTACAGTTATTCAATATTAGCCAAGAAGTCCATATCTCTAATAAAGATACAATCGGAAGCATCAGATTTCCTCATATCTTTACCATCTAGACCTACAAACACCATCTCAGGTCTATAAAGCCCCCCCCCCCGTTCCTCCCGCCGACCGAACCTAAACAAAATTAATCAGTTGGTGGGGGTCATCCCCTCTCCAAGGCGCGAGTAGCGCCCAATCCTTAAACGACCCCCTCACCCCCCAGACCCCTTGACCCCCTTGACCACGCTGACCCCCCTTGACCCCCTGAACCCCTCACCCCAATTTTTACCCCCAGACCCCCCGACCCCCATATCCCCTTCAACCCCCTTGACCCCCATACACTGAAGAAGACACTAAAGACACCAGCTGAGCAACACAAAAGATCACAACATCAGACCCAAGCACGCGAGGCAGTGCTCCACCATCATCAACATCCAATAAGAATATTCCGGAGTCAACAAAACCAGACTCCAACCTTAATTTGTAAATCCATCCCCAAAAACATATATTATAAAATAAATAAAGATATATTAAATTAGCAATAGTTAAGTAGTAATATAAGTAACTAATTAAGTAAGTAGTTTAGCATATTACACATATCACACAACAAAAATGTCAAACAGTAGCATAAGTTCAGATACCAGCAGGAGGGCGAGGTCGGTAGCAGAAGCTCCACAAAAAAGATCATCACACAAATCAACCACCACAGCGCTGCGTACAAAAGTATTAAATCGGGCCATAAGTGTAACCTCGGTGCACTCTGAGGATCAACTGACTCTACCTTTGCCCCCCGCGCCCAAAGAAGAGCAGCAGCCTAAACCAGACTTCGCTGCGATCGACTTCCCCCCCCCATAGACACACCCACATACAGGAAAAAACACACACTTACCCGAGACAGCCTCTCAGAATCGGGAATCCCGGAGGAGGAAGCCGTGACAAGCTTTCAAATCTGGGACAAACACCCCCAACAAAATGACATCATCTCAGATGATGACTTCTCATCTGGACTAACAACAGATCCAGAGGACCTGGAGATACAACCTCCCAGGCGTAAAAGCACGCTCGTCGGTGGTACGTCCAGGAGATCAGGAGTAGAAATGGACATGGCCACCAAAACAGCCAACGAAGAGCTGCAAAAAGGCAAGACGGCCCTAAAAAACGCAGGGAGCATGAAGAGGGAGTGTAAGCTCATAGCACTGGAAAGCCTACAGAGCTTATACGAAATAGTGCTCTCCCTCTCAGACTCCAGGTCCAGGCACAAACATAATCTGGAGGCGGAAAAGGCCAGACACGCGAGAGAGTTGGTGAGAGTAGAAAGGGCCCATACAAAAGCCCTCCAAGATATAATGCGCACAACATCTGCGCAAACACAAAAACAGAGGAAAACCTAACAAAGGTACAGGACGATACAAGTGCAATTCGAAAAGGGCTGGGATACGAAACTAAGCAGCCATACGAGAACATCAACAAAATAGAGGCCATGGTAAGGAAGCTGGAGATTACCATGGCCAATTTCACATCAGAACAAAAAAACTTAGGCAGCGTCAAGTCACATAAAACAACCGAAGGTTCGACAGAAGTCTTAAACAAAGTCTATGAGGAGACAAAAAAACTGTCGAACCAACTTGACGAGCTAAGAAGGGGGATTTTTGAAGCCCGAGCAGAACAACAACAACAACATCAGCAAACTCGGGTAGAAACACCCTCGCAGTACACGCTAGCTGCTTATAGATAGAAGTTGCTTTTTTACTTGCCACAGCTACGTGTTATATTGTGTGTCTGTGTGAACGGAATCGGCTGGAAAGAAGGTTTGGGCTAAAAGTTCTGCCGACTGTTCTGGCGTGAGTGTTTCGCCGTTTTTGTCTCTAAGGAGCATGTCTTCTTGTCTACCTCCTGACTTTTTGATCACGCGGTAGATTTTATCCCACATGCTCTCTTTTTCCTGAGTCGTGCAGAACTCCTTCCAGTGTTTTGTTTGTGCCGATTCCGCCATTTGACTGTATGCTTGTTTTTGTGTGAGATATTCCTCGATTACATGTTGCCTGCGTGTGGCTGCCGCGTTTCTTATGCGCCTTTTTAGCCTGGTGACGAATCGCTTTTGCTGTTGATGGAGCAAAAGGGGGGTTTGCTCCGACTTTCCTCTGCCCATGGGCCGGGATGGTGTCGGAGCATGCGGTGTTTATTGATGCTGTATAGCAGTTTACGACCCGCTCCAGCGTCTGGGTGTTCTGAATTTGGTTTATATAGTGAGGGGTGATATTTTCTTCTTCGAGAACTGTCCTGAGTTTCGATATGAACGCTGACCAGTTAGCCTTTTTGGTGTTATATTTGCGCGTGGTGATTGCGGGAAGAGGTTTTAGTTCTTCCCTGAGGCGCAGGCTAAAGCAGATAGCGTTATGGTCCGATGTTGTGAGACCTTTCTTTACTCTCCAGGAATCCACCCGATTCAGAAGAGTTTGGCTACAGGCCGTTACGTCTACAAAGATTTAAATAAAGGGTTACATGAGTCTAAATAACTTGCACCACAAATCGATTAAAGCATAAATAAATCTGTCAAGCTTGGTTATTATAATGTCAATGTGTGATTTCCAATTACAAAATTTGTCAAAAGTAATTTCTAAAAACTTAATTTCATTTACTTCTTCTATAATGTCATGATTGAGATGAATGACATTTTTTTATTTTTAATGTGTAATGTTTGAAATCTTAAGTATTTAGTTTTATTCATATTAATTTTCAGATTAAAATTGACTAGCTATTGTGATATCTTTTGAAAATCCGCGTTAGCTTTATGTTGAAGATCGTCATCTTTACCTTTAATGATAAGAGTAGTATCGTCAGCGAATAAAATGCATTTATTGTTGATCACATTTTAGCCTGATACAAATACGAGAAAAACGAAAATAATTCGATATAAGCCTGGAATATTTTTAATCGAGTTTGTGAGCCAATTACAAGAGACTATATTTAAGAATCCATCTCATTTTAGCTACGGAAGGTATAAAAAAAAACATCAGGTCAAAAAACTTCATTTTCTTCACGCAAAATTACTAACACGATTTTTTTCACAAATTTTGGTTGTATTTATCATAGCGACAATGAAAATTACTGAAATCCAACTAAAATATTTACAGGAAATAGTGATTTTTATTAAACTTTATTTTTTTTTATTTTTTTGTTGTAGTTTAATATAATAAAACTTTTATTTATATATTTATGAGTGGATTTTAATGAAATTTAGTAGAATATGTGTTTAATTCAAAAGTCTGTTGCATATATTGCGTGTTATATACAAATATTCCACGGGAATATTGGTATGCAATATTCCCATGGAAATTTTCATTGGATTCGAAACAAAATATACTTAACGCAATATAGTAATATCGATTGAAGTCGTATTTCATATTGATTTTTTTACAAATATGTTTTAAATATTTATTTTCCGTGTTATATAAAAATATGAGTTTCCAAATATAATATTAGGAAGATTTATGTATTTCATGGAAGTAACATAAGTTACAGTGTGAAAATACGTAGAAGTCACTTTATATGTATTTTGCTTATCATGCCATTGACAAATTAAAGGAATTTTATTTTTTTTACTAATAATCCGAAAAAAAAATGTCGTTGTATTAATTCATATATTAAAAAGGAAATATATGATACCCTCATAATAATAAAAAAACAGCTCTTATGTTTTAATGTTTGATCTCCATACTGAATGTTGGTATTTGTATCAGACTATTTGGTAAATCGTTTATATAGAGAAGGAATACGAGAGGTCCTAGTACACTTCCCTGAGGTACACCACACTTATTTAGGCGATATTCAGAATTATAGTATTTCTTGATATTGCCTTCCAATTCAGAAATTTCTACGGATTGCTTGCGGTCTTTTAGGTAACATTTTATCCAATTCAAGGCATTGCCTCTTATGCCATATCTTTCTAATTTATTTAGAAGTAATTTGTGTGATACAAAATCAAATGCCTTGCTCATATCTAAATAAATTGTTAACGAATTTAGTCCAGAGTCAAGAGCACCTGTTACATGTTCCATGAGTTTAAATGCTAAGGATGTGCTACTATTTTTTCGAAATCCATACTGATTCTCTTTGAGTATTTTATTTAATGTGATATAAGCATAAATTTTATCGTACATAACCTTCTCAAGAATTTTTGATAGAATCGGAATAAATGTTATTGGTCTATAGTTACACATTTCACTACGGGAGCCACTTTTGTGTAAAGGCTTGACTATAGATCGTTTCAGCGCAGTTGGGAAGTGACCTTGAAGCAAAGTTAAAGTTATTAATCGTGCGAGTGGGCCAGCAATAAATTTTGCACTACGTTTAATAATGCTTGTCCCCAGTTTATCGTAACCAGTAGAGAAGATATTTTTTAAATTCATAATTATTTTATATATATCATCCTCATTAATTGGTGTTAAATACTATTCGGGTAAATTGGAATATTGCACGCAGCACTATGTAAATTAGATGTTAAGTCACAGTTATTTTGATTTGTCTCATTAATAAAAAAGTAATTAAATCTATTACAAATGTCAAGAGGATTACGAATATATAAATTGTCACTTAATTTTATTTCGTCAATATCTTTTTTAACGTTTTAAAATTTAAATAATCAAATTATATTTTATGACACCCCATGTTGATTTACAAACATTTTTTGCACTCAAAATGTAACGCGAATTTCTATTACGCTGCGCTAATATATTTTTTTTAAATATTTTTGCATAGGTTAAATAGCTACTTTTGTTTCTATTTTTATTTGATGTTTCTAATCTGTACTGAAGGTAAAGACGTCTTTTGTTTATACGACACTTTTTTTATACCTTCAGTCAGCCAAGTATTTCCAATAGGTTTAGTAACCCTTTTAACGTTTATTATTGTAAAACACAAGTCATGGAACAATTTAAAGAGCTCATGAAAAAGGTCAAAGGCTTTCTCAGATTGTTGCTCGTGTAGGACTTTATTAAAAGATAGTGACATCATACATCCCATAAATTTTTCAATGTTAGAAGCGCTCATATCACGTTTTATTTTTTCAAACCATAATTTGGTTTTATTTTATATTTTAAATCTGTTCGAATTTCAAATATAATGTGTTTTACCAGTGACGTTAATAGTGAAAGTAATGTGGTATCAATGTTATCCAAACAAGCCGTCCTACGTATAGGTTGCTTAATGTGATTAACCATTTTATGATTATTTAAGATGCTTGTCAACTTTTGAGTATTTTTATTTATTTTGAAATTGTCAATATTCCAATCTCCACACAATATAATGTTTTTACTAGAACGTTTTCTGGAAAGCTTAGGAAGTAATCTCTAGAAGTCCGGAGATGGTATTCTGTATATACAAACAACTATTAAATTATATTGAAAAACTTCTATAGCACAACATTCAAATATAAACGGTGTGGACTCTTTGATTTCTAAGGCTTTAAAATCTAATGTGTTTCTCAGCAATATACAAGTGCCACCCCTACGCTCCGCTCTACAGAAGGTTGAGGCAACATTGTAACCAATGATATTTGAATTATTTTGAGATCCTTTCTTTTTAAATGTTTCCGATAACCATATTATATCGATTTCCCCAAGGCATCTTTTACCACCTCTTTGTAAGTTGTATTACTACATTCAAAATAAAAGGCATCTGTAAATAAATAGTATATTACTTATATAAAAAAAATATTAATATCTAATATTAAAAAGGTACGGTCAATTTCATCAAAAGCCCACACTCAAATTGTATATAAATAAATAATAAGCCGGTTAACTATAGCACTCATGAACATTTCATAAAATACAGACATACACTCACACTCATACATCCATATATACACACATACAGTACTCCTGCATAGACGCTCACTCATATGCATATAGTATACAGAACCCATATATACTCACAAAAGTTGGTTTGGATTAAATAAAGATTTATTATTATTAAATAAATAAATCCGTATAAATCTTTGCTATTTTTATTTCAGGGTAATGGAACTGATTCGATTCAGGAAGAACCAACCAACACTTCAGAGGATGTACCAATTGCTTCTCAAACTCCAAAAGAACCAGAGCTCCCAAAAAATAGACACACCATCCGAAGGCGTGACAATCCACCAGAATTGCAAGTTTCCAGTAGGCAGATGACAGAAACCTTCAATGATTTATAAAAAATAATTAGTTATCCTTCAAAGGATAGTAACGCTGTTGAGGACGAGTGCGACGTATTCGGCAAACTAATTGCTAAAAAACTGAAGAGGTTACCTGAACATGAAAGGGACGATATAATGTTCGATATACATGCTCTATTTCGGAAAATACGTTATGAAAGATCTCCATTAGTTGAAACCATTCGTACTTCTACACCTAAGTCTACGCCCTATTATAATCCGTTAACTACACCACTATCTCTAGAAAGCGTCCTTTATCTGTGAATAATGCAGTTCATTATAATGCTACAACATTATCTCCTAGACCACACTCATCATTTTCAGAGCCACCTGACACATATATAACCAAACAAAACCATCGCTCATCAAAGCTCTTCAAAGATAAGTGTCATAAGTGATGAAATTATTGAACCAGACACCCAAAATCAATCAGTTTATCAACGTTATAAGCGGCCTTAATCAGATCAATCTAATGATGTTCAATACATTTTACATATACCAGAGACCCAAACTCAATCTGTTTGTCCAGAAGATAATACATACAAGAGTGATTTAATATATCAGGCATGTTATGACTCGTAATGTATAAAATTGTTCTTATTCTCACTGATATTTTTGTAATTACGATAAGAAACAAATTGTACGTGTCTAAATTTTTAATAAATATATATCATAAATATTAAAATTTTACCTTTATTTCATCCTTGAGAACCTCGTTCAAAGCTTCACAGATTTCGACTACCTCAAGGTGATCTTCTCTTAAATGAGTGTCTTGTTTAGCGATTAAGGGTTCGACTTTAGAAAGCAATAAATAAAAATCATCCAATTACATTCGGTGGAAATTTTCAAATTCTCCTGATGGTTCTTGTGTGAATTCAAGATATTATTTTTCCATAGTACGTCTGTAAAAAAAAAAACAGTTAATTAACTTGCCATTACACATATACCTACCTACATGATATCTTAGATAATATTAATCATAAAACGTTTTTGTAACTTTCAGTGTAAGTACGGTAAGTGCGTTTGTTTGCTTCCTTTTGACGTCCATCATTTTATAGAAGGGGCCAATTTAACTGACGGGAATTTTTCAAATAGCTGCGAGCAGGCGAACTAACCCCATATGACGTTTACTTATTGAAAATCCTAATTATTTAAATAAGTATTACCTAGTTCTTCTGCACGGCATTCATCCACCATCTTCTTTTTCTCCTTTTCTTTTTAGTCTTCTTCGTGAGATAAGTATGCACATAGTTATAATACGCGAGAGAGCACATTACTACGGAAGCTGCTACTTGAGCGTCCATGCATATGCGAATGAGCTACTCGCGAAGTTGAACGAGTGTGTAGTGTAACACTTCGGACTTCAGTCAACTTCGGCCGAATATTTCGTCGAGGAACTTTGCGAGTAGTGTAGAGCAGGCATTGCGCCGGTGTTTCTGTGTTTTGGCTCAAGTCTTCTATGAATTCCATTGCTATTTCATCATGTCTTCGACTGATTGTAGTGATAGTGAATGTGGTGAAGTCATGCAGGTGTTGGACTCTAATGAGCCGCCGGTTCCTCAGTGCCATGGTGAAATGATGCCAGTGTTGAACTCTAATGAGCCATCAGCTCCTTCGGGGAGCTATATCAGTGTCGGAATAGATTAGCGATATCAGTGTCGGAGGAGAAACCCACTGAATCGCAGGCTTCATCATCAGGGGCAGGTCGTGCTCCACAACGATTGCACCTCTACACTGAAGAAATATTGAAAATGTGGAATATGGAGAGAATAATAGGTATGTTTACGGTGTTTTATACATTATCTTAGTGCTCAATTTTATGACAGAGACAATTCTAATATAGAACCAAACTTCAAATCCCACGTAGTCTAGTCTGCCCTACACTTATAGTATTTTTATAAGCCGGGGCCGTTTTAATCCAATTCAGTAGATCACGTGATAGATTAGTAATTTTTTTCAGACCACAGTCATAACATGGCCTATAAAAATTATTGATATATGTTGTCTTTAATTCTTTTGCTTTGTTATAAAGAGCCCCATAGAATTAAAAAATCAAAAAAAATTAAAAAATCTTTTTAAAAGGACATACCAAATACAGTTTTTATTTTTTTCTTTTTAGATAAACTGAGAACAGATGACCAATGTCTCACTTTTAGTGGAGAGCGAGGACTAATTTTATCTACAACAAATTGTAGACTTCACCGTAAGCTCATGTCCTTAATAAAGTCTAAAGGAGCTGTAGGAGCATTTTTATGCAAAATGAAGATCCACGTATATATCACGATCAACAGGAACGAAAATAGGGAAGAGCTGAGAGCTGAAAGTGCCGGAGGTAAATTGTACCGATGCCAATATGTCGAAAATGGAAAGAAATAGATATACGATCGTATTGCGTATTTTAGTTGCGTCAACGACGTGGACCGAGTGCCTGAGCATGTGAGTGGTTTCCAGCATCATGTAAGTAAATATTTTCGTGTCGATACTTTTTGGTCGCAAGCTAGAATCTTTTGTGATTTTAATATGGGAGTTTTACTAAAATGCTCGTTATTTATCCTAGTTAGCCATACGGTGTAACTTTAATGGTTGGAATTGACAGATTTTTATATGTGAGACAAAATACCACACTTTCATAAACGGGGTAAAATGTGCCGCTCGTGTGGGGCGAGTTGTGCCGCGGCACAACCAACCCCTCAGTAACCTTGATGGTTCCAGTATTGTTTGTTTTTACGCGAGCACTTATGAAAGAGAGAAACTACTTGTTAAGGTAAAAACGAAATACAAGCGAAAATCTAAAAGGGGAACTACATATCAGGATCTATTGCAAAGGGCTTGTGATGCAGTAATCAAGAATGGGCGCAAATTAAAAACTGTTGCACGTAAATTGGAGATTTGTCATACAACACTACAACGCTACGTCAAAAAAATCAAAATGGGGCATACTCCTGCGGTTGGATACAAACCAAGACTAGTATTTAATCAAGAATAGAAGGCACAACTGACGAATTACTTATTAAAAAGCGCAAAGACTGGTTGACAAACTTTTTAAAGAGAAACCCTTCACTTGCAATAAGAACACTTGAAGCTACGAGCGCAGGACGTGCGACCTCTTTCAATAGACATAATGTTGGTGAATTCTTTGAGAAACTTGGCGACTTGATTACAAAGCATAATCTTACTGCATCACGTATATGGAACTTAGATGAAACTGGTGTTCAAACTGTGCTGAAACCAAATAAAATTTTGGCAGAAAAAGGAACAAAGCAAGTAAGAGCAATTGTTTCAGCAGAGCGAGGAACTTTAGTAACAGTTGAGCTAGCGGTTAGTGCTCTGCGAAACTCGATCCCACCAATGTTTATATTCCCGCGTTTGAAATATAAAGACCTTTTCATCCGCGATGATCCTCCTGAGGGTATAGAGGCTGGTAATCGATCCGGTTGGATGACAAGCACAGAGTTCTTAAGTGTTTATGAATCACTTCATAAAACAGGTTAAGCCAAGTTCTGAAGAGCCAGTACTATTACGCCTTGACAATCATTCATCCCACTTCGATATTGAAGTAATTGAAAAGGCCAATACAAATTCAGTCATATTATTATCGTTTCCACCACATTGCACCTACCGTCTGCAACCTCTGGATGTTGGTGTCGATGGCCCATTTTAATCATACTGCAGTAAAGCTCAAAATAACTGGCTGAAAAGTAATCCCGGAAAGACTATGAGTATTTACGAAATACCAGAAATGGTAAAATACGCTTTCCCATTGGCAGCAACTCCTACCAATATATGCAACACATTTAAAAAGGTTGGCATTTGGCCGTATGATTCGAACATTATGCACCTTCTTTTGTCACTGATCGTCCGATGCCAGAATCTGTAGCAGACAACTTGCCTGTCCCTGCAAATAATCCTCAATATCTGGATGAGTCCAGTAATGTGGTCAGCAACGTTGAAATTGAGACTAGTCCAGCTACAGCCTCTTCCTCGGCAAAACGACTGCAGCGTTGACTATATAAGTGAACCAGGTCCTTCGGATCTTCAATTAGCTGATAATAACACAGGGGATAAAAGTACAGCAATTTTCTCACCCGAACTAATAAGACCACTGCCTAAAGCACCTCCTCGATTGATTGGACACAATAAAAGACGTAAAAGAATGACAACTGTTCTCACGGATACTCCAGAAACAATGCTTTGGCTGAAGAACAGGCTAATAAAAAGAAGAAAGAAAGCGAAAGTATAAAGAAAATTAAAGAAAAAAATAAGGGAAAGGGTAAGGGAAAGGGCAAGGGAAAAGCTAAACAATTGATAAACCAGACGAAAAACCCTGCTGAGAGAAGAGTTTTGCAAGATAACAGTTCCGATGATGAAGATGACGAACAAGAATATTATTGTATAATATGTTGTGATGCCTACTCTTACTCCACCCCTGGAGAAAAATGGACAGAATGTGGAGAATGTAAGAATTGAGCCCATTTGCAATGTATTGAAGATGAAGGAAGCGTAGCCTTTATATGTCTTAATTGTTATTCTGATCAGTCATCTGAAAAATATATTTTGTGATTTCTTAAAAAGACTTTCAGGAGACTGATTATTATTAAAATGATAATTATAAGGAAAGATCTATGTTACTTAATTTTAGAGAAAACTTTATTATTTTTCGTAAAATAGTCTTAAAAGGCTGATATTTTTACTAGTTGATCTCATTCGCATTACAAATACGTACAAACTATTGATAGAAATATGCTTTGTGATTGAAATAATTACTTAAGTCAAGATATCTATTTAATTGTTATTATAATACTTAGTATTATTATCAGAATAAATATATACTCTTCTTAAAAGCGGTTTCATTTTTTAAGAAAATTGAAATCGTTCTGTAGTAAATATTTAATTAACTACAGAAAACCTCAGCCCGACTTCAATGTTAATAATCTTCAATGTTAATTCGTGTGCTATACACGACACGCGAATCGGACCCCCCTAGGCGTCAGAGGTGAACTCTGAGCAGACCAAGGGGTGTATATTTAATCACAAACACACAACGCTAACTTACACCATATAAAAAAAAAAAAAAAGTGTTGTATAACGTTGTGAACGTTCGTCATGACGGTGCTCGACATACGCCAACCACTGTTGTAAAAGAATAACTAAACCTTAACAAGTATGACGAATAAATATTTGATTGTAAAATTGATGCGTTTTAAATTCTAAATAAAATTTTATTCTCGTAAAACAACTAACGTTATCAACGGCACAACCAACCTCAGCTACAGCACAACTTGCCCCAAATGGGGGTTGGTTGTGCTGTGCCGACGTAGCATGAAAACCTCGCTTTTTTTCAAAAACCATTAAAAATGTACAAAATATGTAAGTATATTAATTAATTGTACTAAATATGGCTTAAGATGAACCATTGCGTTCAGATATTAGTACTATTTTATCCGATTTATTAAAGGATTTGTCTAAAATCGGCAATTTCAGCCCCGCTCTCCCCTACTAAATTGCCACTCCCACTAATATTCAGGCTTATGTACTGCTTTGCGAGAGATTATGATTATTACGAAACTCACATTGAATGCGTTATTAAAAGTCGTGAGGTGGCAGTTCACATGCAACAATAAGCGACTGGTTCAATTATTGCCGGGAGCAAGTTGTCGTTCACCAACTGGAAAACCAGCCAGATAAACCAAAAATTTGTGGCCCTACAAAAGTCGTCCAAATTGATGAAAGTAAATTTGGCAAAAGAAAATATAACAACGGACGGCATGTAGAGGGTCATTGGGTGCTGGGGATGGTAGATTATGATACCAATGAACTAAGAGTGGAGGTATGCCCTAACAATGAGAGGTCTATGTGACGATTTTACTATCTGTCTATCTTAATCCAAGAATTAAAAAAAAAGAATAATATTGTAAAACAATTTAAAAATAATCAAAATATAAAAATATATATTTACAATACTCTCAAACTTAATTGAATCTGCATACAATAACATAATTACAACTTAAAACTAAAATTAAAACAAGCAAAATATTATAAAGAAAAATAATAAATTCAATAGGCACAGTCTGGGCAAAACTGTTGTATACTCAGTAAGTCTATTGTTCATGCGCTTGCGCATTGCCGACCGAAGCGGGAAACCGGTTCTCCAACAAAACGCGGGTGGCACAATTGAGATACGACCGCAGCGACAGGACATATTGTCGTCACTTACATTATTTCTCACTAATTACTGTCTCCTTGATTGTGAATTTTTGATTTAGTCATCTACAAATATAGTTTATGTGTTTATTCCTCATATTGGGTAAGTGTTGAAAGACTTATATTCACTTTTGCTGTAGTTTTGGTACATATTGGAAATGCATTGTCATTAAAGGTTACCTTCACCAATTTAGAAAGTTATTATTACCATTAATTCATTTAAATAATCACTATAGATTGTGTGTGATTCGCTTTATTGTTGAATTGTATACGTATTTAATTAGTTGTTAGTGCTTAATATGTTTTCTTATAATTGAGCGACCTTCATCGTCAACCTTGTAATTATGCCTTTTGCTTTAAACTTTAAAGTGTAGTAATTAGTAATAGGTTCGTAATAGTATTTCGTGAGATCTCATCTACATCATTATAGACGTTGATTATAAACGTATTGCAAATAAATGGATCTCACGAAATAATATTTTTTTATAGTTAACTACCTACTTATGGTTTTATTCATAAGTAAAGTAATTTTATTGCTAAACTTGTATTGTTTGTCTGCCTCATCATTGATATCTATTTATGCTAGTCATTTCATCTGCACTGAAAAACTCCATCCCTCACCGCTTGCAGTATCATGATGTTGCAGTCAGACTATAAAACTGAATAGTGTTGAAATGTCTGGTTTTGCACTATTACAGGGACCTATCCTCTGGCAGGGTAAAGAAAGGTCTGGATTGTGCTACACACGTTATTCGGGAAACCTTTACTTCTGCACCAGTCGTGTCTGTATTACTGGGACCAGTGACCGGAGATCTGCAACGTGCGATATTATTTGGATTGCCAGGACAGTGGTGACCAAGAATCTGCTACGAGACGGTTGCTTAATGTCACGGACCCACACCCTAAATTTTCAATATTTCTTTAAATTTAATTTTTATAAAACTATTTTGGGGACCTACCCTCTTGTACGTATGTAATTAAATAAGTTATCATATCTGATATAGTCTATTTAATTGGTTTAACCGCCACATCTACTGAGATATTAATCCCGTTAATAAAAAAAACATGTACATGAAGGGACGACCATACAATCCGATTGCTGGCGTGAATACGGCGCTTTACAATACCATGGTTATATCCACAAGCGAGTTAATCACAGTGATCCGGAAAATGCT